AAAATAAGCGAGTGAACCCACCAGCGCTCAGAGAGTTGCCAACAGCAGTTAAGTTCTGTTGCGGGGTCGGGGGTGGTGGAAGAAAAAGCAAAACGAAAGGGAAGTGGTCTGGGGAAAATAACTGCAGTTGGGGTAGTCAGGGAGGGCTTCTCCGAGGAGGTGACACTCAAGCTGAGACCTGAAGTATGAGAATGCCCCAGCTGTGCAAAAAGCAAAAGGAAGAATGTTCCAGGCAGAAGGAACAGCTTGTGTCAAGGCCTTGACGTGGGAAACGGTTTGGCACCTTCTAGCAACCCAGAGGAGGCCAAAGTGGCTAGAGGGGGGTGTGAGTGGGGTGTGGTGGGGAGCTTGGCAGGGGCCCCCCTCTCCTGTCCTCCTTGCCCCGTGTCCCTCCAGGCCCACCCCGGGAGAGGCTGCAGCTACCGAGGGGCGGGGCCGGGTGAAGAACAAGGTTACACGTGCTGCCTCTTTTTTCCCTTTTCTCCTGGAGCATAAAGAGCTCTTTCTTTTCTGCTTATTAATAGCTCTGATTAAATTATCTCTGAAAAACCTACGTGGTGCGCACCAATGGGGGCTCGGCTCCCTCCACGCTCTGGCCTAGATTACAGCAAGGAGGGCAGGTGAGGCAACGGGGGTGGGGCAGGCAGCTCCCCCCCCCCCACGCCAGGATAAATGCCCTTCCCTGCCTCCTCGCCTCTCCCCTGCCCCGCCTCTCCCCTGCCCCGGCTCAGCCTCTGCCCCGCCTCTGCTCCAGGGACATTCATAGCTCCCTCCCTCAGAACGCTAGGCCTGCGCCTTGGCAGTTCCCTCTGCCGGGAGCACCCTGCCCTCACCTTTCCCCTTGGCGACCTCCTACCTGTTTTTCACGGGGCAGACGATCAGCCTTTCATCACCGGCCCTCTGCTGGGTCAGGTGCCTGCTCTGGGCTGTCCCCTTTCCCCGGCTGATACCTGCTAGTTGCCTTGTCTGTGCCCCACGTGAAACTTGAGTTCCACAAGGCCTATGTTTCGGTCTGCGTCACTGCTGAATGTCCAGTGCCAGGCACAGGGCAGGCACTTAGGAAATGTTGAGTGACTGGACGAAGGAGTTAGCGGAGTTAGAAGAGGAGCGGTCAGGCCTTAGCGAGTGAGACCAGACAAGGGCGTGTCTAACCTTACCTACGTGGGAGGGTGGGAACGAAAGTTCCAGGGTCCAGGCACCCAGATTGATGTCTATGTGGCAATGAACCCATTTCACAGATGGGAGAAACTGAGGCAGTCCCTCCTCTTCTTCATACTCCCTCTCTACAAGAAAACAAGACAAAAACCTGGGCTGCGTTCATTCATTGATTCAGAGATTAACGCAACAAACTTTTATTGGGCAGCGACTGCATGCCAGGCAGTCTGAATGCAGCCCCTGCCCTCGAAGAGCCTTCGGGCTGGCAAGAAGCCTGACAAAGAAGTAAGGCCATTAGAACACACACTGGGCCCTGCTATGAGGGTGGAAGTGCTCCAGCCCGGAGAGGGTAGTCAGGGAGGGCTTCCCAGAGGAGGTAGCACCCTGACTGAAATCTGAAGGAGCAGCAAGAGTCAGCTACCTGGAGGGAGGGCGTTCTAGGTGGAGGGGGATGGCATGTGGAAAGGCCTGCAGGTGACAGAGGCACGTGGAAGGACGTGCAGGGATTTTAGCAAGGTTGGTGTGTAGAGGCGCAAACGGGAACAGCGAGGAATGAGGTGCCCTCTGCCCCCTGCCCCCTTGGGGCCTCTTGGACCCCTGGCCAGAGCCAATATTCAGGGGCTGGCCTGCCTGGTGGTTCTGTGGACCGTGGCAAATCCATCTTGACACTGTCTCCAGTCACATCATGCAGAGTTACTGGACTCGACCAAGAGCAAAGGCACGAGGGTCTGACCTCAGGGAGGTGGGTGTATGGGGGGGAGCTCTGGGAGCATGGGGAGGGGGCGTAAGTGAAGGCCCGGGGCTGAGCATCTGATGGGGCGTTCCCTAGCCAGGAGGGGCGTGAGAGGCACCTGGTAGCCTCTCACCTCTCTCTCTAGACAGCTGCCTGTGAATCTGCTGCTGCCTGAAATCCCACCGTTAGCGCATCGTGGACTCACAGCGCTTCAGAGATGCAGGGGCCTTTCAAGATCGTGTAGGCCCCATGTTGTCAGCCCTGGTCGTACATATGGGATCTTTGAAAACTGCCAGCCCACCTAGGAGACTCCGGTCGGTAGGGCTGGACCTCGGGCCCTGCCCTCCATTTTACAGCAGGGGAAACTGAGGCCCAGAGAGGCGAAGAAACTTGCCCTCAAGATCACACACAGTTAATTAGTGTCTGGCACAGGGTGCAATAAATCAAGGTCAGGCGCTCTGGCCTTTGGGACCCAGTTCTGTCATTGTGTGACCTTGGGCAAGTCACGTGGCCTTCCTCTGCCGCAAGATGTGGATAGTTATCGTATGTACCTTACGGGGTTTCTGCGACGGTAAAAAGAGATAGAAATATGTGATATAAACAGCACTGAGCACGTGCTTAGCACAGAGTAGGTGTCAAGCCTTGGTGACCTACAATGGGAAAAATCCCAAACTCTGCAAAAGCTACGGTATGGCCCACTGCCTTCTTCTCCCCTTCCTGTTCTTTCTCTCTCTTTTCCCAGGGTTTGGCTTTTGCTGTCTCTGGCCCTGTCCTCAGCTTCCGTGCGGTTTCCCCACCTGTCCACACCCAGAGTCCACCCAGTGAGTCGCCCTGGCAACAATCCCTGATGTCATTGCAGCAGCTCTGGGGCTGGCCCAGAGCGGAAGCAGCTGACAGCTGGATCACGTTTCCAGGTAAATCCCCACCCCCACCTTCAACCTGGGGAGGGGAAGGGAGAGGGAGGCGGGAGAAGGGGGAGAGGAGATGGGGGCCACAGTGGAGAAATAGAGCAGATCACCGAGGCCTGGAGCTTCTGGGAACCGCTTGCGTGGCAGCCGCAGAGGCCTGAAACAGGGCCAGCTCCTGCCCTAGATAAGGTGGCGGTGGCCTACTTGGGCTGGCCCTGGAGGTCCCCCGCGGGCGCCTCTCCCAGGCCGGGTGGGTTGGCTCCTGAAAGTAGGCTAGGGCCGGACTATAATCAGCCCCTTCCACTGGATACACTCACTGGGGGCTCCAAAACCCTGTCATCTGGATGATTACTGCTGGCATTTAGTGAGCACTTACTGTATTTTGACTCCTTTACATGCAGTGATTCATTTCACCCCCACAGCAACCCTGGAAGGTGCCCTCCCTTTCACAGACTAGAAACTGAGGCACAGAGCCATGAAGGCAAATGGCCAAGACCAACAGCCAGCAAGGGCAGGGCTGGCATCCCACCCAGGTTCCTGGGTTGCCGGGTGGCACCCGGGCACAGCCTTAGGGGTGGGGATGTGGCTGCTGCTTTGCATTTCTGTGGGTATCTTGAAGTTTATACTGGGAAGCTGGCTCCCCGACTCCCTGTGTGGCAGACACATGACAACAGAGGGAACTGCCTCATCCGGGACTCAATTTCCCCATCTGTAAAAGGGACTGCTAACTGGGCCACCCATGGGCTATGAGAACCTATGAAACTTCTTAGACAGTAAAAGGCAAGGTGCAGTATAGTTTGATGGATGCATATTTGGACCCCAGGTTGATGTGATACTGTGCCTCAGTTTTCCCATCTATTAAGTGGGGGGAGAATGCCAGTGCCTGGCTCCCATGGATGTGTTGTATATCCATGAGGTGTAGCTTTCAAAGAGCTCAGCACAGGCCCAGGTATATAGTTAGTGCCCCACAGATCTCAGCTGTGATGCTAAAACCCAAAATATGCCTTGGGACAAAACATTCAGGACAGAGTGTCATTTCACATCTCTTAGCCTCAGTTTCTTCTGTAATTTGGGAGTATAATATTAGTACCTACCATACATAGCAGTTTTTTAGTCTGTAAAATAGGGGCGATGGTAATACCTACCTCACACAGTTGTGAGAATTAAATAAAGTACTTTGCTGCGTGTTAGCCACTGATATTATTTTTATTGTTATTATTAACAAATTTCTCATGGGGTTGTTCCCAGGATTAAATGAAACAATGCAGATAATGACTTAGTACAGTGCCTTGCCCCAAATATGTGCTCAATAAATGATACTGGTTTTCCCACGCCTGGTTCCTCGACAAAAGGACTACAAGTACCAGCATGCTCTGCGCCCCCAGTCAGTGCCCCTCCGCCCGGCGCTGGCGCGCAGCATGCCGGGAGTTGCAGTCCTCGCGAGGCAGACCCCGCCTCGTCCCAGCTTGGGGGAGGAGGTTGGAGAGCCGCCCTGCCGGCCTTTGAATTTTGCCGCGAAAAGCGCGCGTGGCAGCCCCCGGCCCCGCCCCCGTAGGACGCGGCGCCGCGTCACCCTGGTAACCGCCTCTCGGCCGCCGCTGATTGGGCCGGACGGCGGGGGGCGGGCGGGGAACGAGACGCGGAGGCTGCTGCGGGCGCTAGCGCCTGTCAGTCGGGCCGGAGCGGAGCAGCGGGCAGGACGGTCGGGCTGGCGGCTCGGCGGAGAGGCTGCGCACGCCGGCCAAGGGAGACGGACAGCGGGCCCGCCGCCTGCAGGGCGCGGCGCGCGGCACCCGGGCCTCAGGCTAGGCGAGACGCCGGCGCGCGTCAGGCGGCGCGAGGCTGCGGCCCCGGGAGCCCCAGCGCGCCGCTCGGGGCTATGGGCACGTGAGAACCCCGCGCGCGCCGCCCCTGCTGCAGCTCGCCAGCTCGCACACCCGGCGAACTGTCCCCCGGGCCGTCCCTGCGTCCGCCCTGCGCCAGTGGGACCGGCTATTTCTCGCACCGAGACTCCCAGAGCTGCACCCGAGCTTCCGCCGCCCGCTGCCGCCGCCGCTCGCCGGCTTCCCCTCCCCCCACACCCGGGGCTTGGAGCAGGAGGAGGAGGGGCCGGTGCGTTCTCGCCGCCGCTCTTTGCAACCTGCCGGGGACGGTGCATGCCGGGCGAGGAGCCGGGGCCGCCGCAGGTGCGTGCAACCCCCAGAGGAGACGCCCCCCCCACACCTCCAGGCGAGCCCGGTGTCTGCAAACCGCGGGCGGGCGGGCGAGCGAACGAGAGGAAGCAACAAAGACAAGCTGCAGCTGGGGCTGGCGAGAGGGGCCACGGCCGCTGGGCTCCCGGCGCGGGCGGAGAGGGCGCCCTGGGAGCGGCGCGGGCCGCGCTGCAGCCGTGATCAGGGCCCCGAGGGGAGGCGCAGCGCCGCCCGCCGGACGCGGCGAGCACAGACCCTGGAGAGGATGCGTCGCCTGAGCGCTCGCGCTGCCCCAGTCCTGTGCGGGCTGGACCCCTGCTGAGCGGAGAAAACCCCCAACTTCGGACGGCGCGAGCTGGCACCCGGATAGCCCTCACCGACAGCGCTTCTTCCCACCCGGAAAGAGACATAGGCCCCCGAGGGGGGCTTCCTCAGGCAGCCTCTGCCACCCCTGCATGGCTGCGACCCGCCGAGCGGAGCGTCGTGGTCGCTGAGACCTGGTGCCCTTCGACGGCCTGGCTGATCCGGTAAGTTGCGCGGGGCGGGGTTCTAGGCTGGAGGTGGGTCACCCCCTGGCGTCCGGGCAGCTCAGATTGGACAAAAAGGGGCCCTAGGCTATTGGGGGTCCTGAAGCAGCGGTGTCCCTTGTCCGCCCCTTTCCCTCTACATACTACTTACTCGGACTGGCCAGCCGGCCGCAGTGGAGGTTGGAGGCCCGTTTTGGGGATTCCGCGGGGCCCTGGGCGGGGCGGATGCCACAGAGGAAAGGTCACCCCACGGTAAAACTAACAGACAAAGGTAGCGGCTCCATCATCCGAAAATTCCCTGCGAACTCTAGCGTCTGGGAAGGGCTGAGGGGGCACCCAGGATGCGACAGCGTTAAGGGTCTCCCGAAAAGCCTCAAAGATCTTCAAGGGATATCGGCCGAGAGGGGGATGTAAGGTCCCGGTCACGTGGCTGGCTGCGTTTCAAGATTGTGCCCTCTGGGGCTAGACCCTAGCAGGGTCCCTCGTCACAACCGCTTTCCCACAAATAACTCGCAGGGATTGCAGAATCCCCAGTGGGGCCGCGGCGTGACGTCACTGGCCAGTCTCTGACGTCACTGGGGTTGCCTTGGCGACGTGACTTGCCTTGACCCAAGATAGGAGGGGGCGGGATCCTGGTAAGCAGGGGCGGGGCTGAATGCCTTTGGGTAGTGGAGAGGTGAAGGCTGACTCCCCCCAACCCCCACTGCAGTCCTTTGACCTAAATCCTCAGTGCCCCATGAGATGGGGGAGGGAGGCGGTGCCACCTGTCCCTGCTAGTGCCCCTCCTCTCAAGGACAGGTGTTCAGAGCTTTGCCCACGTACCCTGGCAGTGCTTGGGGGCCCAGGCCTCCCAGAAAGAGCAACTTTCTGTTTCCAAAAGGGATGCTAAAGAGGACACCTCGCTGAACCCCACCATATACTCAGCCAGCAGGCTGAAGTTCCAAGGTTGCCCGGAGAGATGTGCACCTCCAGCCTTCCAAGAGGCTGCTTCTGCTTGGGGAAAATGTGGGTGCCCCATTCCCAGCCAGGGAAGGTGCAGAGGAGCTGCTGCCTGTTGCCCTTCCAAGTCCAGGGGATCCCCCTGCTGTTCAACCCCACAGTGGGGGCCATGGCCAAGCTGAAACTCCTGACTGCCCCCTTCACGTTTTGCTGTTTGAGATGAATTTGACAAGCACAGTGTGATGCACGTTAATGAATGGAGGGCAAGTCAGGCCCATCAGTGCCGAGGTCTGAGTAAACTGTGTCTCTGCCAGGGGCCAGCTTTGATGGGCATCGGGCACCAGGCCCCCCTCTCCCACACACACCCCAGCACTGGCCCTGTTCCCTGCAAAGGCCCAGAGAACCCCCAGCCAGCATGCTACTGCTGGTGCTGTGATTCTTCCTCTAAGTCCCTTCCAGAAATTACTGCCAGTGTCGGATGTGGGTGAAACTGCTGTGATCACATTTCTAGGAAAAGGTTCGAAAACTGTGTCATTGCTTCAGTGGGTGGAAGCAGGGAAGTGTGTTTGGGTCCTTAGGAGACGCCAGTCCCCACTGTATGCAGTGAGCATTTTTCCTGTTCTCCTATCAGGCACTCTAGCTAGATTAACAGGTCAATAAATATCAGCGGAGCTGCTTTTGGGGGCTTGGCAGGGAGATGGTATTTCCAGCTGAAATGGTGTCGTTAAACACACAGGCTTCCGAGGACAGAGGAGCAACAGCAGATTGGGGAAGAACTGGGAGAGGTGGGCAGAAGGGCTGTTTGCTCTGCCTCTCGAAGCTTCCCAGTTTAGAAACAAACTCAGAGTGCTCGCCAGAGATTCACAAACACAGGCAGTTGGAGGCCCTCCGTCGAGTATTTACACTTCCTTAGCCAAGGCGGAGGGAAAGGCTGTCAGAATTGGGCGATTCCTTCTGTTCCCTTCCCTCAGCTCCCTGGGCTTGGCAATCAGCGTGCCAGACGACGAGCAGGAGGGAGTGCCAGCTTTCCTGGCGTCTCCCCATGTGCCAGGCATTTTACACGCTCTCAGTTACTCCCTGGAGGGGCTCATGTGCTGTGGCCCATTTTATAGATGAGGAAATTGAGGCTCAAACGGAGGAAGTGATGAGCTGCAGGTGATCAGTCAGGCAGCTGCAGAGGTTTGGCCCTGAATTGCCCTGGCTTCAGAGTTCCTGGGTCTTACCCCCAGTTCCCATGGATAGAGGGGAGGCCCTACTTGTTGGACAGGGGTCCCTGCAGGAGTCAGAGCTCCCTGCAGGAGTCAGAGCTCCCTGCAGGAGTCAGGGACTGTTGGCTATGGAGGGAGTCTGGCCTCACCAAGATGCCTTGTTCACACTAAAACCCAGGTTTGAACCGTTTTCCATCGCCAGCAGGACAGAGTAGCAACTTCTACCCTGGCCTTGTGGTCAGCCTGTTCCCCTCACCCCCGGGACCCACTTCTTCAGCACTGAGGGAGGGAAGGTGTGGCGTGAAACCCACCTGCCAGGAGGGCCCGCCTTAGGCTCCTTGTCATCGGCCGCTCTGGCCGTGCTTGGAGGAGGGTGGCGAGGCTGCGACGGGGCAAGGGCAACTTTGGTAGATGTGCTCCTGGCCCCGCCTGAGGGTTGGGAAGGGCCCTGTAGGAGGGGTGCCATGTGAGTCGTGAAAAGGACGAATAGGGAGGCGCCAGGCAGAGGAATGAGCAGTGTTCTGGGCAGTGCCGGTGGCCCCGAAGGGGGCCGGTGATGTCTGTGGGTCCTTGTGCCAGGGTGTGCTTAATGGGGGAAGGGGTGGCCGTTGGGGTGGCTGTATCCTGGAGCCTCAGGTGGATGGGGAAGGTTTTTAAGAGGGGAGAGGCTCCAGTGAGGGCCCCCTGGACAGGGCCAGTAACCCTGGCCAGCCCTTTTCCTCAGGGTGGGGCAAGCCTTCTCAGGTCTCAAGGTTGGCACCCCCATCCCCTACCCCGGCTAATCCTTCTGACTCGTCTAATTCCATGTAAGCCCATCCGTCCCCTATCCCTTCTGAGCCTGGACCAGACCGGGCCAGGGCTGGGCTGGGCTGCTTAACCCCCTTGGTGAGAAACTCGAGGCTCCCCGGGGATGGCAGTGCTCTTGGTTAAGAGCCAGGCTCTGGAGTGGGTTGGGCCTGGGTCCCACTCCCAGCCCACCACTTGCAGGCTGTGTGACCTCGGATGAGTACCTTAGCTTCTCCGAGCCTCAGTTTACTCATCTGATAATAGCACCCACTGCCTAGGGTCTAGTGAGAATTCAGTGAGGGACTGGCATACCGTAAGCACGCAATAAACGCACGTCCTCATGGCTACTGTGAGCCTCATCCTCAGAGCCTTGAATGGCTGTCCCAAGCCCTTGGAGCCAAAGGTGGAAGAACCCAGTTGCAGGGCAGGCGCCCGGATCCTTCCAGCTGCCCCTGCCAGGGGCGCCTCTGTCCACGGGGGTGCCCACGCATCCGCAGGGTGAGCACACGTGGCTCCCATCTGAGCTCGGGCGGCGGGGCTGGGCCTGGGCCAAGGGGCCCCTCCCCAACCTCCCGCCTGCCCCCTCTGCCTTCCCGTTCCTCACCCTCCGGAGGAAGCGAGCGAAGCGGCTCATATTCATGAACCGTAATTCAATCAGGCGGCGATTCCTCTGGGCTCCGGGCGGGGGTGAGAACGAGGAGGCGCGCACAAAAGGGCCGCTTTATTACCTCCCGCGGGCCGGGAATTGCAGCTCTCCCCCAGCAGCGGCCGGAGCCGCCTTTATTGTGTTAACCCATTTGCGTGTCAAGAGCTATTGTGCGCCTTCCCCGCCTGTGCCGCGCGGGCCGCGGGAGGAGGGCTGCGCTGCCGGCCGGTCACCTCCGCGGGCACCGCCCGCCGCCCTGATTGGTTGCTAAGTGATTTGCATCCAAGGTAATCACTTTTATCTCAGAAGGATGTCGACTATAATTATAAGCTACTGACATCTTTTGAAATCTGCCTAATGACTATTTTAGTCTGCATGGGCTGGGGCTGGGGGTGGGGAGGGGGATTCTTCTGGAGGGGGGTGGAGGCTGGGAAGGGAGATGGATTCTTTCCACCTGGACCACGGATTCCTTAGTTGAGAGATACCTGAGTGCCTACTGCGTGCCTCAAACAAAAGACGGGGGCCCTGTGATGGGGAGCTTGCATACCCAGGGCGGAGTTAGTACCATTTCAGAGATGGGGAAATGGAGGCCCACTCGAGTGGGGCACAGACCAATAATAGTGGTAATCATGGCAGGATAGAGGTCACCAGTCTGGAACCTTCTGTCATAATCCTAAGAAATGCGGGTGCTGGTATTACCCCTATTTTGTTAGGGAGGAAACAGAAGGTACTTGGCTGCCCAAGGTCACGCAGCCAGGGGGTGGCAGAAGCATGAGGTTTGCTGGTGGCCAGAGGTGGGAGGGTTCCATTGGGCACCCTACCAGCCGCTGTCCTGGTGGCAAAGCTCTGAGGAATCAGACAGCCCACAGCCTTGACGCGGGGTAAGATGCGTCTGCAACTAACTCGAATTCTGGACAGGGCTGGTGGAGAGACACCGAGGAGGGAAAAGTCGCAGCGGGTCGTGGAGGGCTTCCTGGCAGAGAGGACGTGTTGATCTGGGCCCCAAAGACTGAGTGGATCTGCCCAGCATGGCGTGAATGGGGGTGTCACTGTCAAAAGGAGTTTGAGAACCCAGGGGCACAACCAGGAAGGGCAGGGGGAGTTTACGAAAGGGCGGAGGTAAAGGGAGATCAGCTAGGAGGGTGTTGGAGGGGGCCTTGAGTGCTGAGCTATGGGGTTCAGAGGATGAGCAAAGCCAAGAAGGTCTGAGCAGGGGAGGATGTGATCTGGGTGCCTTAGAGGCCAGCAGGGAGCTTGGGAGTCCCAGATCTGGGATCGAACCCCAGCTCCTGCATTCTCACTGGCGGTGTGTCCTCAGACAAGTCACTTTACCACTCTGGGCCTCAGTTTCCGCATTTGTTCAAGAGGGTAATAGCAGTTTTCTCAGGGGCTTGTGAATGGGGTGAGTTTGGGTGTGCAGA